GACAGGTGAAAAAGACGAGCTGCCAAATATCTACAGGCCTGAAATCACTACGAAAGGCAAAATGCTTCTGATCGTGGGTAGTTGCTCTGATCGGCCAATCAAAGGTGGCCTCACTCCGTTGGCAAGGATGAGGTCATCCAAGCCATTTGATGGTTGGCACTCGAAGCATTTGGACATCGTACGAGGCACCGAGAGCAAAGTCAGCAGTTAACAGATGACAATTGCCAAAGAGTCATCAGTTGCAAAGCATTGCAAGCCGTGGAAAATTCCCTCTCCGTGGCACAATCCATACTACTGATTGCACATACGAAGCGCAAAGGCTTATCTAGAGTGTGGCAGTGGAAGGCATCGCAACGAAAGGACTGCTAACGACGTGCTGATTTCCGTCCCTCAAGGGAGGCACAACATACACCCAATGGCACCCACGCGATGGCCAAAGGGATTATAGAAGGTGTTCACTCTTCCATTGGATAGTGAGCATTGAGGTCACCATCTTTCAACATGCATGGCCATGTGAAACAGGTGAAACAGAGACCTATCCTTGCATGGTACTTATGCCATCTTTGCACAAGATTGGCTGTGGTTCGGCTCAGACGAGCAACTGAGGTTCTCCCTGGGCGCCATCCATCAACCGCTCTGCTGCCACCCGCACAAAATTGCAGGCGATGAAGGCGAGAATGACGACCCTATCTGCTTTTTGGAGCCGAACTTGCGCTCGAACAGTAGGAGAAGTACAGGGGAGGCCCACTGTGGCGACCCCGGGCTCCCAGCGCTTTTCAACCTCGTTTTTGGGGCCGCTAAATTCACCGCTGCAACTGCTGCAGCTCACCGCACGACTTGGAAACAGCTGCGGGCTAAAATTCTTACCAGGCCACCTTCAAGCCCTGTGGATTCCAAAAACGCAACAACCAATCCACTTTCAATTGGGACTCCTTTAAAAGAGTTATAAGGTCCCGGGTCCCCGTTCGGCCTCGTCGGCCTCGTTCAGCGTAGAGAGGATGGAAAATGGCCTGTCTTTGGAGGCCTCGCTCGGCCTCGTCACGCGCGCAGTCGGCCTCGCCCAGCGTGGAGAGGAGGTGGCAACAAGGCCTGGTCCGGCCTCGTCATCGGTGTGACAGACCTCGTCCAGCGTGGAGAGGACACGAAATCAGGTCTCGCTCGACCATTGGAAAACTACTTGGGGTTCAACTTCCAAAACACCCGCTCCATCTCAAAAAACGTGCAAGCTCGACTGGAAAAGTGCTCAAATCATTCTGGGGCACGATTCCAACCAACTCAACAGCCCGCCCACATCACATAAAATCAAAAAACAAACGGAACCAGGGTCGGTTGCCAAAAATCTCCGCCGCGCATGGAAATTGTCGGCGACGCTCAAGGCGCCAGGAGCAGCAGGCACATCCATCAGTCAAGCCAGCGACCTCTGCTGCCAATTCTAGCCCCGTATTTGTGCAGGTTGGCAACAGAAGCTTTTGGATTTAGAATTTTCCGCTTCAGGTCAATTTTTGCCGGAGGTTTTGGTTTCCAACTCAGACATGCCCAGAATTGGCAGTAGAGGTCGCTGGCTTGGCTGATGGATGTGCCTGCTGCTCCTGGCGCCTGAATGTTTGACAATTTCTTGCGCGGCGGAGAGTTTTGGCGACACACCCTATGTGATGTGGGCGGGCGGTTGAGTTGGTTGGAATCATGCCCCAGAATGATTTGAGCGCTTTTCTGGTCGAGCTTGCGAGTTTTTTGATGTGGAGCAGGTCATTTGCAAGTTGAGTCCAAGGCAGAAGCAGTTTTCCAACGGCCGAGCAAGACTTGATTTCATGTCCTCTCCATGCTGGACGAGGTCTGCTACTGCCGGACTTTTTGGCAGGGTGTTCGCCGCGTATAGGCGCAGGTTGGCAGCAGAAGCTTTTTTGGATTCAGATGTTCCCGTTTCAGGTCAGTTTTGTTTCCAACTTAGACATGCCGAACACCCTGCCAAAAAATCCGGCCCAACCAACTTCGCAACCCAAAACGTGCCCGCGGAAAAAAACAACAAACCACGCCAGAACAGCTGGATCACAACGCTGGCATGCTCCGCCGGCGGCCCCAAAAACGAGGACAAAAAACGCTGTAGAGTCCGGGGTCGCCACGGTAGGCCTCCCCAGTCGCCGTTGGACGCGGACGCAATGGAGGGCGTCGACGCTGGACCTGCAAGGCTTGGCGTTTCCGTGGGCAGGTATCACCTCACCTGGATTGGCTGCCGTGCGTTTTCAGCGTTTTTTGACGGAAATGCATCAACGAGCGGTCCCTATTTTGGGGGACGGAATCTGACCCCCAAAACTGGGGGACAACTTGAACATCATTTTGCTCTGCCATTTCGTTGCCTCATGACCTCCGTTTTGGGGGTTAGATTCCGTCCCCCAAAATAGGGGCCCCTCGTTGATGCATTTTTGTAGCGCTTCCGTTCAAAAATGCTGAAAACCCACCGTCGATCCGAGCCATTCCAAGTGCGAGGTGAGATTGCTGCCCACGGGAACGCCAAGCCTTGCAAGGCCAGCGTCGACGCCCGGATACGGCCAATGTTTGCATTGCGTCCAACGGCGACAGTCGCCGTTCGAGTTCACCTCTGGATTGACACCCTTGAGATCACTTTTGAGGGCAAAAGTTGGGATCTTAGTTGATGTCTGATCCTCAGTTGCTCAAAGAAAACGAGTAGAAGAAGAGAAGAAGACAGAAGAAGAAAGAAGGTAGCGCTATGCGACCCAAGAAGGGGCGTGAAACTCAGCGTACAGCGCACGTGTACAGTGTATGGCACCTAGTGCTTGCTTCTTTAGGGAATTTTCGTTTTTAGAGTGCTTGGGGTTGGAACTGAGTGGTGATCTGTGCCCTTTTTTGTGTTTGACCTTTGACCACCTTAGCAGGAGGATGTTTGAAGTGGCAACTTGTGGCTAGGAATAGTTTAGAGAACCTTTTGGTGAAGCACGAGGTCTTTGGAGACTGTTTGAGATGGTTCCTTGTAGTTTTGTGTAGGTTTGAGATGACTATGGGTAGTCTTGTATTTTTTAAGAAGAGTGGACAAACTTAAGAGAAACTTTGAGAACGTTTGAGACAGTCTACACCGACTGTGACTTTGGCTCAAGGAGCGGGATCGAAAAGGAAGCTTGCGCTACTGTGTTTTCACAGGCTCCGCAGGAGGTTTCGGAGCAGATTCCGGGAGCAAGTTCCCGGCGCAGGTTCTGGCAGCAGCTTCCAAGGTTCCGGAGCAGATTCGGACCAGGTTCCAGAGTGTGGGTTCTGGAAACGGTTCTCAAGGTAATTGCCTCGAAAGCTGGACTCGCACCAGGCCCTGCCTGCCACGAAATCACTTTGCGCCTGTGACGAAATCATTTCTTTTGAAGGATCCTGAAGACCACGACGGTTCCCACGTTGCATCAAAGTTATTTCTTTGTGAAGGATCCTCCCGGTTCCCACGCCAATGGGGTGGACTGTGGCTGCGCTTCTCTCAACCCCGCGCCGCAAAAATCTGCACCAATTGCAGCAGAGTGAAAATTCTAGGTCGTTTGCAGACTTGTGCCGAGTTGTGGTTCCGCTCCATTCTGCTTGAAATTTGATTTTGGTCCTTCGAGAGTTGCTCGCAGCAACAGCAGCTACCAGCAAGGGTCTGGAACTGAGGGCACCCTTGTAGTTCTTCTCTTAGAAGCCTTCCTTCCCCAGAGCCCGTTGAAACTCGGAATGACCTTGAGCGACCTTAACCTATAGACTGAGGGCGTTCAAGGTCCAAAGCACAGCCACGGCAGCCACAACACGGCCCGCTCCAACTTCGGAAGTCACAAGTTTGCTCACCAGCACCTGTCAGGCATCATGGGTTTCTTTGCAAATCGGGAGGAGTGACTGAGTGACAGCTAGGATTTCAAGACTTGTTTTGGATTGGAAGTTTGCGTTGTCTCTAGGAGTCTTTTGGAGATTGAACATGTCCGACAGCCGTTGTGAGTGGGGAAAGCTCAGCTTGTCCCCAGGCGTGCGTAGTTGACTTCGGTGGGTTTGCAGAGAGCGTGTGTGAGCATTTTCATTCTCATGAGCTGCTGATTTTCGCCACCAACCCGGCAGCCTCTTTGATGCAGAGGATGAGGCCGCTAAAAAGGCCCCGGAACAATCGTTGGCTTCCGCGGGGGGTCTGAAAGGCTTCAACAATTTGCTGCTTTTGTTGGAGAGCACCTCCGCGCAATCTACGCGATGATGATTTGGACTGGCTGGAATCTTGCGCAGTTCTTTTCTGACTATGATCATTTGGCTGGAAACATACTTCCCAACACTCATCACGACATGTACTTCCCCTTCTCCGAGTTCCCAATGTATGCTTATACGAAGGAGAACTGGTTGCTTAGGTGATGGTTCATTTCGATGGTCACAGCATGAAAATGCTCCAAACTTAGATCAATCAAGAGGGAGGACCTGGACCTTTACAAGGCATGTTGGAGATCCATGAGGGGGTACGGTATATAGTCCAAATATAGTCCAATTGGAAAATGAGCTGGTACGGGGGCGTCCGATGGCTTACCTGGCAAGGAGACCACCTATGCCATGTGGAGTTGCGCATTTCTTCTGCTCGCCTGGGGGGCGCTGCTCATCAAAATGATCCACGATGTGAATGAGGTGATGCCGCCTTAGGCGCGAATCCGATCTCCAGAGATCAGAGGCTGCAACAAGCAGTCTGGACTGATGGCCTTGACAAAAAGTTGAAGCGTGCCCACAGATGAACAAACACGTTGAATGGGTTCTTTTTACGGATTTTGTCAAACAGTGGGCTAGCCGTCGCCATTATCGTTTTAATCTGGACCTGTGCGATGGCCAAACTTTGGTGAAGGAGGGTTGGAAACGAGATTTGAAATGAGAGAGGGTTAATACAGTAAAGACAGCTGATGAAAACAGAATGAATTGACGCTGAGCATGGAAACCATGTTGGGCACGATGTTGGGCACGCAGCAGCTGTTTGCCACCGAACCAGTTTGTTTGGACAGCCATTCTTCCGAATGGCCTGGAGACTCCCGTTCTTCCAGCTGACAGTGGTCGTAGCTTTGACAAGGTCGGCGAACGAAGACTCCAGGGATGTGATCTCATGTGTCGCCGTTGAATGTGATGGATTTGAGGATACAGTCTCACTTCTCATGACTGTGCCCCAAAACCCTGAGAAGTCTAACAATGCACTCGGGCCTGCGACTGGTGGAGGCAGCGGAGGCGGCCAGCTGGCCCAGCTGGGCCAGGTGTCGAATTTCTTGTCCAAGTCTTCGGAGCCAGATCGAATGCCACATCCAGATCATTTTGACGAAACATGGGACCGCCTCAAGAACAAGACTGCCAAGCTCCCGCTGTGCAGAGCTTTCCCCAAATATTGCGATGTCAAATCGGTGACCTATAAGGTCGAGGTCTTGGCAGCCTCCATGATGTGGGAATCTCTCTTGGGCGTGGGCGGTGCAGTGGTGATCCTGCAAATCCTGATGTTTTACATTGCTGGTGTTTGCTGGAACACAGGGCTTCTAGGTAGACTTTGGCCAAGGGTTTTTGGTGCTGATGGATCTGATGAACGTGGATTCTCAACTCCAACTTCTGCTTTGGACCCAGCTGAACCTCACCTGGCTGGCTGGGCATCATGGCTGGCGCCGCCGCAGCTTGCTTGGCCCATGAAGACCTGGTGTCAATGGTGGCAGTTGGGACCACGGCTGTCTCGACCCATTGCGACGATGCAACTTTACGTCGCCCTTGTTGGCGCCCAGTTGGTGTTGTCTTTTCCATGGGTACTGTAACTCTAGATCTCTCAGAGAGGTTTTTACAGGTTTTTGCTTATAGTCTCGTTCGGGCATCGGAAAACCTTGAGGTTTGCTGCCTACTCTTGGTGGAGGTCTTGGCTCTGGTGACCCCCAATTCCTGTGTCTTAGCGACCGCAGAGATGGTGGGCTTCGTACGCAAGTACCCTAGACACTTCAACTTTTTGCCCCACTTTGGAGAGTGGTTCATGCCCAATTTCGAAGACAATGTGGATGCTTGGGTCAGCTTTCTAATCTTTGTGCGGCGATTGCTTGTGGTTTCGTGGAGCCTTTTCATTCTTTTGCCACAGAAAAGGAAGGGACTTTGGCAACTCAGGCGTGCAAAGTAGGCTTTTTGGACCATTTTGAACAAACTACAGGCATCCTATTTTTAGGATAGTGCCCTTGATTGGCTTTGAAATCGCTGGTGGCAACGAACGATTTTTGTTTGCAATTTCTTTTGCAGTTCAGGCAAGTGGCGTTGGGGGTCAGCTACACTTGTGGTGCGTTGGCTTACACCTACTTGAGCATGATAGAGTTGACGTACCAACCTTCCCACACCGTCCAAGGAACGACACTCTTTGTCTTCTCCGCTATGTTCGTAGTGCCCTTCCTGGAGACCAACCCAATGGCAGGGAATTGGTTGCGGAAATTCCTGCTTCTCAATGTGGTGATCCCCTCCTATTGGTTCGCAGGCTTGAGCAAGATCAGGTGGGCTGCCTCTCGTGTTTAAGCTGAAACCACATGGGTCAACCATGAAAAAGAACATGATAAATTGCAGTAAATTGCCGTATACAATTCGCACACCAATGTTTTGACGTTTTCCCGAATGAGTGGCGGAGGATTCTCGTTTAACTCTGGGGGTAGGGCCTTGTTCGCGACTCGTTGTCGCGCGCAACCGTTGTCAACCGTCCGCAACCGTTTGCAACCATTCGCGGTACGGGGCTAAGGCGCTGACATTGGGGGAAGGTTTTGGAGGGGGTTTTGGATGGAAGCATGACGTGCCAGATTCGTGTGAGAAAGCGAGGAAACGTGTGGAGACGTAAGATGTTGAAGTGTGGAGGATCATTTCACTGCGCAGGCGCAGCGTTCTGGGAGACCCGCAATTTTCTGCGTAGTCAGATTTGGATTGGCGTTTGGAGGGTGGTGTTTTTTGGGTACTGGATGTGGCTGTGACATTGGGATTTGTTGTTGAGGGTGTTGCATCGAAGCTGTGTTTTCGTGACAAGTCTCAGCCAAAACGGTGAGTTTGGTGAATGGGAGCGTGGTCAGAACGTGTCGAAATGATTCCAAACTTGTGGTGTGCTGTATGTTTTGTTAAATCTCACGTGATATGAAGTTCTCACTCTGAGTCTTCGAAATTAGCAACTTTGCTAATCGAAGAATTTACATATTTTTCAATTTACTAAGGAAAACTTAGGTGAAACAATACGTAACTTAAATTACGTAAATTAATTTAGGTTGCAACCTAAAGATTGAGGTTACAACCTAAAGGTTTTTGGTTGGAACCTCAAGATCATCCACAGGAAAATGTAAAAATATGCAGAAGTAAACTCTCAAGATCTCGAAGGCAGAAAACTCAAAACTCCAAGCAAATCTTCAAGTAGCTGCTCAAGACTCAGGAAAGCCTTCACAAGTAACTGCTCCACATATGCTCAAAAGTCCTTGGTAAACGTATTGCGCAAGGACAGATGACAGATGAAAATCATCAATTTCTGTATCATTTTTCTATGGTTATTTGTGTATGTTCATTTACTTGTGAGTGTCAGAACATTTACTTGAACATGTGGATTTTACTTGAGCATTTTCTGGTTGATCATTTCCTTGAGCATGTGGATTATTGACCTGAACATTTTCTGGTCCATGTACTGAGCATTCCTGTGAGGTTGAACACCCAGTTTTACTTGTCATCTATCTTTGCACTTTCCACATCAAGGGCATTTGTTCTGTAACATTTGAAGCCTAGCATCAGTGAATCAAGGCAATCCATATATGGAATTTGGATAATGGCATTTGGGTAAATAAACCATGCATATCTTGGTACTTGGCAGCTTTGGCACTTGGAGTATGTTCACTGTGGATTTTACTGCGCATGTGTATTTGAAGTAGCTGACGTGCCAAGACTCCTTGATCTTTATCTTTCTGTCACCATGCCAAGACTTCTTGCGCGCAATGTGATGTACAATTGCCACAAATATGAAGCATGGTTTGCCAGATGTACAAGCTTTGGGTTTACTGTATATTTTCCCAACTCCCCCAAGTTGATGTAGAAAACTCAATCAATCCTGCTGTCTTGCATAAGGAATTCATGACTTTTTAAAATGAATTTATGAATTCCTTTTGCACTTTTTAAACATGCATAAGAAATGCATAAAGCATGCATAGGGAATGCGCAAAGAATTGACGAGGAATTTGAGAAAAAATCGAAGTCTTCAGACACAAAACATCACAGAACTCCGAACTTTTCTCAAACAAAAGCTCGAGCAAGTTCACACTGCCTGAGAGGCAAATCCAAGAGTGGCTCCACACAAAATCACAACTTCAGGGGTTTCTTCACATGAGGGTTCTTCACTTAAGAATTGTTCTTTTGAAAGTTTTTCATTTAAGATTTTGAAAGGTTTCTTCACATGAGAGCTTTTTATTAAAAACATATTCACTTGAGAGTTCTTCCTTTGAAAGTTCTTCACTAGAGAGCACTTTGAGGGTTCAGTGTCCCTCCCCTCCTTGCGTCGGTTTGGATGTCTGCTTTCTCTTTGCTCTCTCTCTCTGCTCTCTCTTTGCTCTCTCTTTGCTCTCTCTCGCTCTCTGCTCTCCTTTTGCTCTCTCTTTGCTCTCTCTTTGCTCTCTTTGCTCTCTCTTTGCTCTCTCTGCGCCCTCTCTCTGCTCTCTCTTCTCGCTCTTCTCGCTCTTCTCTCTCTTCTCTCTCTTCTCTCTCTTCTCTCCCTTCTCTCTCTTCTCTCTCTTCTCTCTTCTCTCTCTCCTCTTACTTGGCAACTTTTCTGTTTAGAAGAGCTTCCAGGAACTTGTGTTGTTGCTCATGATTTCCTGTGATTTTTCGTCATCTGTTTTGAATATGTGTTCAATCTTTTTGTGCTTCTTGTCGCTTTTTAAATGTATTTTTGGTGCACTTGTGATACTTAAATGAAATTAGGTAAAATTGCCATTTACGTAAATTTGGAACCTAAATTTTCAATTTACGTAAAATCATTGAACGTGTAAAATATCTAATTTCGAAGACTCAGGGCACTTTTCGTGGCAGGCGCAGTACTTTGTGCGGGCTTTGAGGTGTGGAAGTGCGATTTTTGTGCGAAGCGCCGGGAATCGTGAGGTTGTGAGGCTGTGGGCTCAGTACTTTGTGCATCTTGGAGGTGTGGGCGTGCAAACTTTCGCGGCCGGCGCAGGGAATCGTGAGATTGCCAGTTGTGGTGGCGCTGTGACATTGGGATTGGCGTGTGAGGGGGTATGGTTTGGAGGGGCCTGGAATCGCAAAACTGCATGGCAGGGCTGCTTGATGTGTGCGCTCCGATGGGGCTTCCCGCTTGACTTAGTCTCGTGCGAAATGCTCGTTTTGGAGACTTGGACATGACTTTTGGAGGAAGTCTCGCGCAAAAGGCTCGTTTTGGAGACTGGACGCGTGACTTCTGGAGGACGTCTCGTACGAAGCGCTCGTTTTTCAGACTTGAAGTGTCAGTTTTTGAGGAAGTCCCATGCAAAACGCTCGTTTTGGAGACTTGAAGCGTGACTTTTGGAGGAAGTCTCGTACGAACCGCTCGTTTTGCAGACTTGAAGTGTCAGTTCTTAAGGAAGTCTCGCGCGAAACGCTCGTGTGGGGACTTGACGAGTGAATTTTGGAAGAAGTCTTGTGCGAAATGTTCGTTTTGCAGACTTGACCTGTGACTTTTTTTGGAGGTAAGCTCGTACGAAACGCTCGTTTTGAGACCTGACGATTGACTTTTGGAGACTTTAGCAGTAGTGCCCCACAAGGGTGTGTACCGCAAGAGTGCCCGACAAGAGTGTCCTACAAGAATGTCCCACAAGAGTGCCCTACAAGAATGTCCCCCAAGAGTGTCCTACAAGAGTGTTTTGCAAGAGTGTCCCACAAGAATGCCATACCAGAGTGCCCCACAAAAGAGTGGCCCGCAAGATTGTCTTACAAGAGTGTTCCGCAAGAGTGCTTGACAAGAGTGCCTTACAAGAGTGTCGCACAAGAGTGTTCCACAAGAGTGTCGGGCAAGAGTGTCGGACAAGAGTGTCCTACAAGAGTGTCCCACAAGAGTGTCCCACAAAAGTGTCCCACAAGAGTGTCATGCAAGAGTGTCTTGCAAGGATGTCCGACAAGAATGCGTCCGGCAAGATTGTTCTACAAGCCCCACAAGAATGCCCTATAAGAGCGTCCTACCAAGAGTCTCCTACAAGGGTATCTCGCGAGAGTGTCCTAGAAGAGTGGTCCGTGTCCCACAAGTACAAGAGCTACAAGAGTGTCCCGCAGGAGTGCCCCACAAGAGTGTCCGACAAGGGTGCCCTACAAGAGTGCCCCGCAAGAGTGTCCGACAAGAGTGTCCTACAAGAGTGTCCCACAAGAATGACGTACAAATGTTTCGCAAGATCGAGTGCCCAGCCAGAGTGTTCCGCAAGAGTGTCCGACATACAAGAGTATCCCACAAGAGTGTCCCGCAAGAGTGTCCACAAGAATGTCCGACATGAGTGTTGCGCAAGAGTGTCCTAGAAGAGTGTCCCGCAAGAGTGAGTGTCACACAAGAGTGTCCCACGAGAGTGACAAACAAGTGTGTACACAAGAGTGTCCCGCAAGAGTGTCCCACAAGAATGTCCGACAAGAG